CAATAGCATAGTAAGTAATGAATAACAAGAATCATAACCAGACAATGCTGACCTAGCAGAAGTCATAGTATTTAAGACATCCAAAGGGCAAGAATAGAATACAGATCTCCGCGTTGTAAAAGTACTCTGTGTAGAGTCTGTCTACTTGGCACAAGAGCTGGTGACGCAGCACTGTGTGGTTCAGAGTGTTTTTATAGCTCGGGGCTTGGGACTCAACTTGCCGGGTTGCCTCCTTCTTGTAGTTTCCAAGCAGCTGGGGAACGTCGTCTCGCAAAGGCAAGAACGCCTGAACGGAAAGGCAGTGACCGAGATGCGCCCAGGGCCCAAGAATCATCTCAGCTTCTCAATGGGTGACATGGGGCGATCCCGATTCAGAGGCGCGCCAGGCAACGATGTTGTTTAAGATTTTGACTGATACTTCTCACCATCACCATCACCAATCCTCACAAGACTGGACGTGTCTTTAAAAAAAACTGGTGGCCCAGGGGTGCTGGCGCTATCTCAGCCTGCTTGGGAGCATGCCTCGGTTCTCTGCTCAACTTTCTCAATTTTCGAGTTGATTCAATCCGTTCTTGTCTTCTGATCTTTGTTCTTATGTGATTACATTGGTATTATCTTATCTTTGTATACGCTCGTCGTCCTCTTCCTGCATTCTCCTAAAGCGTCTCACTTGTGTTGCTTTGCTGTTCTCATCTGACGATATTCAAGATCCTTTCCTATTCCTTCGCGTCCTCAAAAAAACACCTGACTTCCAACAGCTCATACGGAGCTGCCTTGAGGCAAAGCTACAGGGGGCTCGTTCGCCTTTCGATGCTAAAGAAAGCTGAGGCTACTCTTAGCCACTCTCCTGATAGCGGGCTTCACTAAGGAGCGAACCGAGATGGTCACAGCCTGTTCTGCTTTGATGGGCTTGATCAAATGAAGTAGCCTGAGTTTGCAAGAAGCTCCAATTTCTTGGTGCTCCTGATAAAATGGACAGTCCAAGGTCTCCGCAATGTGAACGTATTCAAGGCTGCACCACTGGTTGGGAAACCTTGAAGACGAGCATGAATAGCCTGCCGTGTCAACACGGAAACTCGAGGAAGTACGTGGAAGGTCTGAAAAAGTAGTAAGTAGCTGTTCAGCTGTTCAGTGGGAAGTTAAAAGTAGGATCACCCCAATGAGGGCTCCTTAAAATTTTAGGACGCATAAATATGTGTGTATAATATGTATGTATGTATGTATGTGTGTATATATATATATATATATATGTCGTACCTCTTTCTGCTGATCCAGTCGCCAAGCCTCCAGGTGATGCTGCGGTCTTGCATCATCTCTTTCGTATACTCACTAGTATTTTCTTCTTATTGACTATTCTCGTTACCATCCAAGCGTTGCTACACTAGCTTCCAGTGATGACCAAATTCCATTCTCTCATCTGGTCAAAGCCCCTTGGAACCATGGCAAGTCATGACCAACCCTTGCGGCCATCAGAATGCCCAAAGTAAGTAAGACCCAAATGTTGCTCAGACGACAGAAGCATAAATGTTGATGACACGACCAGAACCATCACGCATGCAATAATCGTGACGATAACTATGAGAACAACTACCACGTTAGCTGTAGCAGCAGTGATGATGGTAGTTGTAGTTGTCTTTTCATCTGAGGTCTTGCAACAGACTGCTTCGGCCTGCAGAAGGAGCAAGTTCTTTAAGGATTTCACGAAGGCGCCAGAGTCCACGTTCGTCTGCTGCATGTTGTCAATCACGATGTTGCCGTACTGCGGCCAGAAGTTGAACCTTGAGGCTCATGCTCAAAGGTCGAGTTTAAATGTCTTTGAGGGGCCTTAAAGGAAGAAACCATTAAGGCAACGACCCCTCTGGTGCTGGCTGGCCTTGCCGGCCGCGAGGTTCCGCAGCCGTGATGACAGCCTCGAACAACCCGAAAAGCCTTCACAACCCGAAAAGCCTTCGAAAACTGCGCACCCCGCAGCAAACGCCGGGGCTCGAACCCCCAACCACTCGAGCACGGCCATGCGCGGCTCATCCTTGGAATTGTGAGGTCTTGCACAATGCAAAAACCAATCAACACTGCGTAGGACTGGGTGGTAGACCCCGGCTCTCAGAAGGATGTCAACGAATTCTGCTGCCTGAAATTCTGTGATCTGACACTATCTCTACACTCCACACGCTTGCGGCAACATCGCGGCCTGGTCTTGCGAACTGGTCAGCTTGTTCTGCAAACCTGGAAGCCGCCATCGCAGGCGCCAGAGGCAGGCATCCGCTGGGCACGCAACCGGGGGCCTTTCTGAAGTCCGTCGATCCGCTGCCGCGTGGCACGGCCCAGGCCTTCCCACTCCTTGGAGCCGGCCTTCACAAGCAAAAAATAGGGACCAACTACGCTCAAGAAAGAGGGCGAAAGCTTCGCTGCCTCTGTGAGGTGTGCTTTGGAAGGGGGCATTAGCGCACCGTCCAGAGCTGACGGGGACAGGGCCCAGCCAAGCAGAGTGTTCTCCTCAAAACGGCACGGAGCTGTGAAAAAAACCTGAGAGCTCGATTCGAGGCCTGTAAGAAGAGACCATCCAGCTGCTTGCAGATGATCTCATTCTTGCGCCCTCGCCAAACCTAAGTCTCTGTGCCCTAAAGGGCCCAACGGTAGGCACCCCCTTTCAGAGCAAGAACTCCCCCCTCAAAGCCGAGATGTCGACAAACTTGGGCTCGAAGGGCGGTCTCCAAATCTCCTGCTTCGGACAGGAGTTTAAACGTATTACGGGCTAGAACTTGGGGGCTCGGGAGTTTGGGGTTTAGGAGTTTAGGGTTCGTCAGCTGAGAAAGCAGTGCAGGGCAGAAGGCCCTCTGCGCACCTCCTTGAGGGGAGCGCCCACCAGGGCACTGATGTACTTGCTGTCCTTCTTGTCTTTCCTGGCCCGCAACCTGCAAAGGCAGTTCAGAACAAACGCCTTGCCAGCAACTCCCGGTGACAATCTTGCGCACACGAAGTAAGGCGATCGCACATGAATCAGCTGACTGAACTGCTGACTTCGAAGGTCGTTTAGTGTCCTCAGAACAGTTGTGGCCACCAGCTGGAAAGTCAGCTTGCAAACACGAGCTCGCATATCTGCGCACCACAATTAAAAAGAGAGGTCTGAGATAAAGGGGCCATTGCATTGCTTGACTCAGCCACGGTTTGGTTAAATTTTGAGCTTGTTTGCTCTATCAGGAAGCGTCTGGGTCTTGTCAGCCTCACGCCTGAAGCTGAAAGCTGTACTATCCTGTAGTCTTTTCAAGGGCCGAGGTGGTCAGTTTGAAGCTCGACGGCTTGCTTCGCCTACACGGCTGGGGTGAAACGTCCCACGCCAGGATTTCGATGCCGGAAACCCTGAAGAGACCCAAAAAACTGAGACTAGCACCGACCTCTGAGCTGCTCAGCCAGCTTGGATACAAGCGCTGCAGGGACAGCGTCATCCTGACAAGTCCACGTCTTCCTGACTGTTCCGCGCTGCTGACTGTTGACTCTTCTTCTACTGCCTCCGCCGCCGCAACCAGGAGCTCGTTCATGAGCCTCCCGTCTTCACACACTCTCTCTCTAGGCCTGTGTTTCGAGAGCCATTTGTTGGAAGGTGTCAGAGAGAGTGCTGCCTCACTGGGACGCGCCCGTTCAATAAGGCGAGGATCAATGCCACCTGCGCACAAACCGCCAGACCCTTGTGGAGTGCCAGCTGTGCTAATGCCTTCTGCTCGGAGGTGGCGGCAAGGAGTTGCGCCAGGCACACGGTTAGGACCGCCTGATCGCACTTCGCCCCCAAGCTGGAGGCTTCGCCAGCAAGGGCAGAGGCCTCCTGAAAAGGCGCGATGCCCTCCCAGGTCGACGGCACCGAGCCGCCCTCCTTGCACCCCCAAGAACCGTTGCATCAGCTAGTTCCCAGTGCTGAGCACGTCTGCGCCTCACATCTCCTCCAGCCCCTTAGTTGCCCCGGGCCCGTGCACATCAACACCTCGCCACAAAAGGCCTTCCGTAAGGGGGCCTTCTTCCGAGGGCCCGGCTGTGCTAGGAAGAGCAAGGCTTCCTCGAGGCCACGTTGTCGGGCCAAGCGGGCGGCCTTCGGCCCGGGGGTTACCGGAAACACCGACAGCAGAAGGAAAAGGCACGTCGAAGCAGAGAGCCTCCGCATCCAGGAATTCTCCGACCTCAGCGGCTAAAGCCAGGTGCGGACCCACATCTCAAACCCAAAGCCTCCCGGCAGCCCACCGCAGATCCCTCACCGCTGCCCGAGCCGAATAACAACCTTTCGACTCACCCTTACAGCAAGAAGCCCTATCGTACCTCTCCAAGTAGTGCCCATTCTGCCAAGCAGCATTGGCCACACTCAGTTTCTGCGCAGGCGCCTGCGCTGGTTGGAGCACCTGTGACGCTTTGCTATTCTTATCTCTTGCTGCTCGCTTGCAGGCGCGAGTGGCCTTCATGAGCATAAGGTGCTCCCTCTCCGAAGATGCTGAAGGAGCAGCATCCATCTGCCCAGTGACTTATGGCACATCGTATCGGTACCAGGTGCTGCACAAGTTCCGCACCTCCTTTTGCCGCTTGACTTGTGTTGCCGGCCTCAGACGCAAGATTGGTACAGTACACACATACATACACACAAAAAGAGGAAAAGCAGAAGCATACCCACACACCGGAATGCGCCCGCAAGTCAACCGGCCGCCATTGTTTCAAGGCCCGAGGAGCTCCTGCTCCGACGGGCCACGCTTCATGCACCGCCTCGGGGCTCCGGAGGGCTGCGGAGGGCTCATGGAAAAGGACGCGGAAGCTCTCAGGATTTGCACAGGACTTTAGCTGAGAAGCACCAGGCGGCGAAGCGGGAACTTTAGGCTTCAAGTGACCCACTGAGAGCCGAAAAGCCGGTCGAAGCAGATTGATGGCGTGCGTCACAATCACACTGCAAAGCTAACGCAGCTTCAGACTCAGCTACTTCGGATGGAACACCCTGACCTGTGACCTATCCACTGCGGGACCGCGTGAGCCTCCACTTGAAGCAGTTGCCACAAAGCACGAGTCCGCAACTTCTGCAATGATATCTGCCTCAGGTGCAGCTCAGCTGTGGACTGGATCAATGACGATAACAGATATGAACAGCATCATGCCACGTATGGCAAACCCGGGCCGACTGCGAACGGTGACAGAGAAGAGAACCTGCTACCAGTAGACATGAGTTCTGAACCAAGCCATTCTGGACGTCGACAGAAAGCAGAGCAGGCAACAAGGCGAGTCCGGTGTGCTCACATCATTGTGTATTTTGCAGAGAGTACCTTGCAGCTGTGGCATCGCGGGGCCAGATGATCCGGCACGAAGAATGGAGGATGCGTTGCCTCAAGAAGGCTGTGGAAGGAAGACTCACAAGTTTCCCATACGTGCCGGGATTGCGAGCCTTTGCAGAAGAGTCCCCTGAACCATGAATCCAAGAATGAACCCTAACCGCAAAACTCCGAGGCCACATGGGCCCTTGGGCAGCTGCTGGGATGGAACGGGTATTGAAGTAGGCCTGCTCTCGGTGCAAGGTCTCCCGGTCCTGGCCGTCGTGTAGACACTAATGACTAGAAGCGTGGCTTCTTGTCATGGCTGGGCCTCGGCCGTGAGCTGGACGGACGACTCCTGCAATCTCTGAGTGCTCGACTCCCTCAAAACCACGACTTTAACAGCAGTCCTAACAGCAGCTCAGCCAATCACTCTGTCACAGGTGTGCATACTTGAATCTTGGCCCGACCCACAGAGGCTCAGGGTTTAGAGGGAGGTTTGGGGACTTCGGCTGAAGACATTGAAACCACTGTGACATGCAGTCCTGAAACCGAAAGCCGTTTGAGACCACAAGGCATGACATCCAGCGCTTGGCTGCCAAGTCCTGCCCAAAGTACGCACTGAACACAACATGTTCATGGGTCTAGCGTTTAAGACTTAAGATTTTTGGGCTCTTTCAGCATGGGACTCTCAATGTGGTGTCGTTGCCTTAGCTGCCCGGGCTTGGACACGCTCCTGCACCTTCCGCCATCCCGAACTTGCCTTCCTACTCTGGAGCAGCATACTCGACCTTAACCGATGCTTGCTTAACAAGTTCTCCCTACCTGTATCAAAGCAAAACTGAACTTGGGTCCGATGATAAGATGGTATCCGAATCTGGTCCTTCTTGGATGTATCCACAGCCTTCAGCACATCGAACTGGTGCTGGCTCCTAGCAGCTTCGGAAGCAGAGGCAAGCTGCGACATCCACAGAAGAAGACTCCCTGCTCTTTCCCCCCCGTGCAGCGGCCGCACCGAAACGCCAGATTGGCCCGGCCGTTCACCAAGAGGGACGTCGCTCTGGCATCCAACCTATCGTTAGCACATACCATAGTGACATAGTGTAGAGTGAAGCACCCGACGATCTAACAGCACGTTTCTAGCTTCACCAGTCACTGCCTGGAGCAGGCTTCAAGGATGGGAGGCCACTCGAACTTGTCAACCTTCGCACTCGAACACTGGCTTCACATCACAGAAGTGACGAACCCGCCTGGTTGACGTCTGTCTCAGCATGCTGAAGCAGCTGCAGAATGACGCTGTAGTGAGCCTCCAGGCTCCAACGCTCGAACAACTTTGGCCCCTCGAAGGCTGAACGAAATCAGCACGACCCACCTTTGACACAGCAAAGTGCAGCGGCGTCCAGCCGGTCGTCTCCTGACACGAAGCTGAGTTTGAAAGGAACCAATGGAAACGTACCCCAAACCCATTCTGCATCCTCCTGGGAATTTGGATGGCAGTTGTTGTCAAGCAAGACCTGGACCAATCCTGGGCAGCGGCAGCTTTCTCTTGTTCTCCCGGAGTCTCCCTTTTTTCCTGGGCTTCCAAACCCAGGTCTCCGTTCTGCGCAGCGAGGTGAAGTGAGGTCTGCCCTCGCATGTCTCGAGCCTGTCAGGTCATGTTGGGTCATTGGGTGAGGATGCGGATGCTTCCCCCCCGCCCGAACGATGCGCCTCGAGATCAAACGTTCCCTTGGGGCAGGCCTGGTGCACCGGGACAGATGCCGTGCTGAGCTTTACGAGGATGGCGTGGTAGGAGGCGCGCGGAAAGGAGGAAGGAGAGGATGTCGGCACCAGGGCTGGCTGCATGCATGCCTTGTTGAGAAAGCATGGCAACTTCACGCGGCACTACATGCGTCCGCATAGCGATGGCCTTTGCATACGACGTGCAGCAGCGTGTCCTTCTGACGACTTGTGACCGATGACGCTAACATCCCTGACTCCCGATGTTGGTCTGTACACGAGCACTTCCTGGTCGTTGTTGCGCATCTTCCCGAGGATGGTCAGCCTGACAGGCTGCTCCGGCTCTGCCCACTCTAGCACAATATGCGATGCAAGCCCACTTCGCCTGTCTTGCGGCAGGTTGCTCACGATCATCCTCAGGAAGTCCTGGCAGGCCAAAGAAAAAGAGCAGACCCCCGCGCCGGAAGCAACCCAGATCGCGCAGGCGCCGCCTCGTTGCACACGAGGTCAGGGCTCAGGAGGACGTGGTGATATTTTTCGTTCTCCAGGACTTCGGGGATAAGCTCCTCCGGAGGTGCAGCAAAGTGGCCTCAAGGTGCTTGCGACGAGAAGCCTACGGTCTCTAGGCATCCGGAAGACCCCGGCTGTCATCGGGGAGAGCCTTAGCCTTCCCCGCAGTCCTTGACCCATGCTTTCGACAGAAGGTAGGGGAGGCGCTCCTTTGGCCTTCACTGACAAGCGAGATAGGCAACGCAGGCTGCTCGGTTTTCGGGGCCACGGACCCCTTTTGCAAGAGCTTGTGGAGGATGTCGATGAACGCTTGTGGTCCTGTAGATGTCTGGCCAGCACTGAACAGACCGGCGAGCTGCGATCTGCCTTCACCAACAGGCTTTGCGAAGTTCAGGGTTTGGAGCGCATGGAGCTCTTCCTGACATTGTGGCTCCGAGCCGGTATGACAGTGGCGATCGAAGCAACATCAAGCGCGACCCTCGAAAAGTAGGAGTCTTGGCACTTCTCCGTGATTCGCTGCATCTTTGGCCTCATGCAATCGAAGATAAGCCATCCTCGGCCCCTTCCTTCGGCTCAATAAAATCGGACCTCGAAGCTGTTCTCAGCTGCGGTATGGGAGCTCTTCCCGGGTCGGGAGGTCCTCACTCTTCTCTCAACGCCAGGCCCTCAAACCATGCACAGGGGAAAGGTGCAAAGGGCGCCTTGTGGGGCAGATGGCCCGGAGCCTCGTCGCCAATGCTGCTGCTGCTGCTGCTGCTGCTCTCGCTTAGCAGCTTAGCATGTGCTTTCTAGGACACTCAAGCAATCAGACACTGGCTGAACAACACTGTCAGACGGCGACACTGGGAACTTGGAGGAATCAGAACGGGTTCAGGCCTTTCTTTGCGGGACCTTCGATAGTTTTGGCGATTTCCTGCACCAAAGATAAACATTCGCATGGCACTTCAAGACAGAGATCTTTACCAAATGCGCCTCGATAGGATCGTCTTCCTCATCCTCTACCCTGAAAGTCTCCAGCAGCTCGTCCGAGTCCCTGCTTTGCACGCAGGCTGTGCAAGAAAGGAACACTCCTGGAGTCTAGGACCAGGGCCGTGCAGCCGCCGAGGTATTCCGAGGTGAAGACACCACGACTGACACAAATAAGTTGCTTCCAGGAGTCAAGCAGAAACAGCCTCTGAGAAAGCGACTGTCCGGCGATGGCTCGGTCGCTGCACTGACATCTCCCAGAGGTTTCACTGTCTCCTCTGGGTCCATGGGCTTTGAGCTGCGAGAGAACTTCCAAACAAAGCTCAAGCGCCTTCATGTCGGCAAAGCCTTGATGTATGCGGTACCATAGCCACTCGTCCTGGGCGGCGCTGGCACTGCTCCGTGCTGACCCGTCGTCCCTCTAGCAAGCTCGGGTCCTCCGCCTTCCGCAAGAGTTTGGAGATGGCCAAATTACCACGGGAGACATGCCTGGCACGTCTGTCGACATCAACAGCTGTCGCTGACGTCTGCGAGGCCGTGTTACCTCGCAGTTCGGCCGTCCACATTCCGTAGAAAAACGTCAGATCCAGCCTGCGCACGCAGGTTTCTTGCACGCACTTCGCGATGTTTAACAGTGCCCTGTACAAGTTGAAGCAGAATCAGGGTCCTCGATGAGCACCTGGACCTGAGTCTCGATCAACTCTGAGGCCACTACGAGCAACAGCGAAATCAGCAGAGGAGCAGGAGGAGGAGTACGAGCTGTACAAGGAGGAGGAGGAGGAGTAGGAGCAGGAGTAGGAGCAGGAGTATGAGTAAGGGCAGGGGCAGGCATCGTAGGAGGAGTAGAAGCAGGAGTAGAGGAGCGGGACAAGGACAGGGGCCATCACTGCACGTTGACATCTATGACTCAGCTTCCTCATGGTTTGTCCAATCTCTTCTTCCATTTTCGCGCTCCCTCCCGCATCCATCGACCTATCAGCAATGTCATGCGAAGGCTCCCCGGTTGAAGAATCTGTGTTGCTTCTCACGCATTTAACACGAAGTGGACGGAGACGTCCTGCCGACTTCCCAGGCCCCCCTCACTCGAGGGTAGCAAGACGGTGTTGTTGCCAGGACACTGCTTCGGCGCAACTTGCACAACCCGGCGCTGAGAAAACATGTTCGGAGTCGATCTGTTGTCACTACTGGCAATGCCGCTGACTCGCTTGAATTCTTTCCGACGCTTCTCGCGGTGTGAGCAACGTTTGAAGGGAAAGTCAATATGCAAGCTGGCGTGTTGCTGCCTCTTTGTCTCCTTTCTGCACCGTCTAAGCCAGCCGCTATGCACTTTCGGGACCCCGCCGAGTCCATGGGTGGGGGTCGTCTCAGCTTCTGGTGGAGAGGAATGTGTAAGACTTGCATTGCCGCCATACCAAGTAGATAATGTGGTGGAGAGGAGAGACACGGATTCGACATGGAACGGCTACTAGACTCTAGAGGAGTCTAGAGTCTAGAGGAGTCTAGAGGCTTCTTCTTCTCCGCAAAGCGATGCCTTGCAAAACCCCCCCTGCCCTGGCGCCAGGCCGGTATCATGGCGCTGCCCCGCTTTGCCCGATTTGCCCAATCAGCACACAGCACAGACTCCAGCGTCCCCTTCCGTCAGCTCGACAAGGTCCCCGTCCGCCGAGCCTTGGCCCTTGGCCCTTGGCCTCTCCCAACTGTCGTCCTGGTGGGTTCCGTTGTCCAGCCGCATGCAACGATACAGGTTGAAACCTGGTGTTTTTTTGCTGACGACGATGCTCGGTGCTCGCGCTGCGATGAGCCGAACGAAGCCTGATGCTGATGATGCTCGTGGATCCGGGTGGGAGTGGGAGGCCGGAGCCGCAGCTCGCAGGGGCCGCCCAGGACTGCACTGGAACAGCCTCGCTCAAGCCTCCGTCTGCGATAAGAAACTACGAGTATCGTCTCCTTATTTAAAAATATTTGAACACTACCAAAACTGATTCCAACAACGTTTCCCAATGCCCAACGCAGCTTTGAAAGCTGCAATCTCAAGGCATCTCAACGCCCTCCGAGCTCCACGCGACATTGACATGACATGCATGCCCAGCCAAGTGAAGAGGTGTCCAGAGGTGCGAGCCACCCCTGAATGCAAAAGGCAAGCCACATGACTCTGCCAAAGCGGAACAGCTGCCTCAGATTCAAATCGAAGACTTGCGGGCAGGTCCGCACTCTGCTGCCCTTTGGCTTCTTGGACCTGGCACAGCAAGGGAAACATGAAGGGTCTCGTGCTTCACAGGATTCTCCTGCATCCTTGCAACGCGACGGCATCACTGGTGTGAACAGGTGCCCTTCTGGCAGGCAGCGTCGAAGGAGTCCAAGTTACTGACAAAGACCAGTTGCTCCCACCAAGGTTAAGTGTGCATGCGTGGTGGGATAGACACGGTCGGTTTTGGCTGCTTTTCTGGCGCACCAGACGGCAGCAGTCTTTGCAGTGGCAACCCCTCGCTGAGGACACGCTGCTTAAGCGAAACCGTCGTCCAGTTATGGCTGTGAAACCTCCCTGCCCCTTCATCTGCGATGCATCTCGGCAGGGGCCTGAATTGCAGCTCGAGTTTCGGACTTCGACCTCTCAACAAATTCGTCAAGCTCCACGGAGACGTTGAGTTCCGTCAGCATGATGTCTTTGCCGTTTTCCGATGCGCAGCCAGGACGCAATCATTCCGACCGTGAAGAGACCATGGCCTCTGCATGTTGCAAGCCCGAACCATGTGAGGAAGCTTCGGTAGATTTAAGCTTTTGCGCTTCGTAGGACAATTATCTAGACCAAGAAGAAGCTGAACATTCAGACCCTGCGACGGTCAGCGCCACCCCGGAATTATCACGGAGACTGCTAAGTCAGCAGGCCCCAACAGCAAGCGGTTCCTGGGCAAAGCAAGCCCAGAAAATCCCAGAAACTTTGCGAACCACTGATACATCATACATCATGTAAATTGGAAGTACCCCGGTAAGTGGAACTATTCGGTGCTAGCTTTGTGCCTAGCATCAGCTGGAAATAGGCCAGGGCCATACCGCTACGTTTGCTTGTGCATTCGGTTTTGGCAAGAGCATCTCGGCAGACGGCCCCTCGCAACACACGAAAGTCCAAGAAACCTATAATAGGCGAGACCCGGCAACACCGAACCCCGGAGAACCGAAGACACCCTTTCAAAAGCCCTCGAAGCAGCCTACATTCGAAACCCTCAACCTCAGCCCATCCTTAAACTTAAACTTGAACCTCTAGATCCCGTCGAAAGGAGCCCTTGAAGGATTCCCTATTTTTAAAAGAGCCCTTAAAGGATTCCCGAAAAGCGCCCTTAGACATTCCCTAAAAGAACCCTTAAAGGAACCCTTACTTGGAGGATCATGGGACTTAGTAACTAGGGTTAGAAGTAAGGTAACTATAGTTAACCCCAATTAGGGTACTTATAACCTTACTTACTAAATCCCATAATCCTCTAAGTAGACCCTAAACCCTAAACTAACCCTATAGATCCCTTTAAGGAACCCTATAGATCCCTTTAAGGGACCCTTTAAGGAACCCTTAAGAGCCCAAGCGAGCGGCCGGAAGCTCCCTGGGAGCAGGAGCCAGCGGGTCGTCTGTGGGGGGCACGAAGTTGTCCCACAAGACCAGCTCAGGAGCCCCACGCGTCTGCCAGGGTTCAGGATCCAATGTCAGAGACCCCGAATTAGGCCTACCGAGCCTCCCGGCTGGATGACTCGCAGGTGATCTGCAGGTGGCCAGGTTCCGTAAGCATTCCTGGATACTTTGTGTTTTCGGTGTTTGGGTTTGGGATTTCGGGTTGTGTTCTAGAAAGAGACGCAAGGACAAGATGTTGGGACAGATTTAGGCCAGTTTGAAGGTATAAGAGAAGGCTAAACAATTCGTGCACAGGGTCGAAGGGGAGGGCCAAGCCAAAAAAGATCTTTGTAGTCAAGAGCTGCATAGGACTTGCTTGGGCCCATCCGGAAGGCGAAATGTTCGGCAGAATTTCTTCTGGGAGGAAAGCCAGAGCATCTGATGTTTTGGCGAAGCCATGAGCGTGTTACAGCATGTTGATGTCTTCGTCGAGCACAGTGCTCCTCCTCTGCTTCTCCCCGCTGAGTTTCGCCATGGCCGTAACTGCTGCCCAGCCAAGTGTCCAAACCAACACCCGATTAGCAAGGGCAATCTCTGGGCGAATGTAGGTAAGTCTGCGTCATGTACCTGTGGCGTTCGCCCGGCTAGGTCTGAAGTCCTCTGAAACTGCTACTCACTTTCCCAGCAAGCATCCTGCACAGCCGTGCTGGCCTGCCAACCTACTACTTATGGAATGTCTATCTACCAGGCAGGCCTCCGCGGAACGTGGATGGCGATTCACAATCCAGAGGCTTCGCCAATTTCCTGTCGCCCTCCCTGGTGACATATTCGTAGAAAGTGTTCGGCAATGCCCAGCGACTGCTGGATGCGGAACCTGATGCTCGTTCAGCAAATTCCCCACCACACCTCGCTTCACACGGGTCTCAAATTGCTCGCTCAGTCGGCTGACAGACGTTAAGTCGCTCCGTGAAGCCAGGCTACCGTTGAGCCTGACATCCCAGATCTCCGTAAACCGAAGAGAAAGTCTTGACAGTCGGACGTGCTCACTCGACTGGACAACCTGACCGTTGTACCGATCTCGTCCTCAGCTGGGGATTCCTCACCCGACCCGGCACTTGACTCATGCTCGCCGATCGGTTGTGCTGGAGGAGGCGGTGGCAAGGCCATCGAGTTCCGGACCACATACCTATGAGCTGCTATGGCCCTCCTCAAATCTAACTCTTGCTGACGCAAAGATGCCATCTGCTCGCCTAGCTCCGGGTGCTCCTCCCTATTAGATTCGAAGCTCCGCTCCCGAACCTCCTGGTTCTGAAGAGCTGCCTCCAGTCGATGCTCTGCCTGAGCAAGAACTCCACTCCTTTGCTGCTCTTCGCTCAGCTTTCCACGCAGGTCCTCCTCTTCACCCCTCTGCTCGTGAACTTCTCTCTGCAGCAGTTCCACCTCACTGAGCCCTAGAGCCCTTTCCTGGCCAAGGCTTCGACACTCCGAGAGCTCCGCTGAGAGCTCCACTGAGAGCTGAGCCGAGAGCTCCTGAAGCTCCGACAGTTCCCGAGTCTCGGAAAGAGCCGACCGGAGCTCGGACCGGAGCTCGGAGACTGCCCTGGCTTCCTCTTTTGAGGCTTCCGTCTCCTCCACGAGGGATGCCCGGCAGCTCTCGGCTTCCTTTGCAGCATCCTTCATGTGCAGGGCCTCCTCAGCCAGCCGCAGGTGATGGGATTCTGCAGCCTTCAGTTCGCTCTGTAACTGCTCGGCCTTCAGCTGCGCTTCCGCCGCTGCACTTCTCTGCTGCTCCTCCGCCTCTGCTTCTACACGTCCTCGCATCTCCAGCGCCGATATCTCAGCTGCCTTCTCGATGACTTCCTCCCTCAAGTCCTTCTGCGTCTGCTCACACTCTCGATCCCAGGCCTCCTCTTGCCGTTCCAGTTGCAGAGAGAGCTGCTTCTGCTCTGCGATCTCAGACTTCATCTTCATCCGCTCCTGCAGCTCTTCCTCTGACTGGCACTTTTCCCTCTGACTGGCCACTTCCTCTCTCAAGGCCAAGATCTCGGCTTCGGCCTCCTCACTTCCATGCTCTGCCTCGCCGTTCAAGACTTCGAGGACATCCGCCTCCTCCCTCGCAAGCTGAAGCGCCTGCCTGGCTGCTGTCATTTCAGAAATCAGGCTCTGGGCATCATCCTGGCTCAGCGGGAGCCCTAAGTTGAAGGACTGCAAGGTCGCGCTGCCTGTAGTGGCTCCTAGGGTATCCTCGTTGCTCGCGTTGCTCGCCATGCTCGCCACGCTCGAAGAGAGAAGCGCACTGTGCCGCTGCTCTAGGGCCGCCCTGGAGGACTTCAGCGCATCAGCCTGCAAGACGCTCAAGCGACCCCTGGTCCTGCTGGTGCGGCCCGCGCGGGCGGGCAGGCTTAGGGTGGCCATGGAAGCCCTTGGAACAACCTTTGGGACCTCGGGCAGAGCACTTTGCTCTTCAGCGCCGGGTTTAGGGTCTTCGTTTGCATCAGGGCTGCTCGATCTCGAGGAATCCCCAGGCATCGCCTTCTGACTTCGAGGCAGAGGCTCTTGGCCCTGGGCTCAAGAGGCTTGAAGCGATGCCATCTCTTGGACGAGCCATGGCATGGGTGCCGCTGAGAGCTCCAAATCTTGCAGAAACATGAACCCCTTGCTCGTACACAGACAGGCATTCCAGCACACAGCATCCTGCCTTAGCACGAACGCAATCCCACGCAATTGGCCTGGATGGGGCACTTCATGCTTGACACTTGGACACCCAAAGTACGCGAGCAGGCACGAGTAGACCAGGCCTACCCCTACTTTAATGTGCGGCCCAGTCAACCTCGTCGAGCAGCGAGGTGAAGCGGCGCCCACTTGTCGCTGTTCATCCTGAGTTGCGCAATGCAATCAGCCATTAAACAGTACAAGTCAGAGAGTGTGGACAGAGGCCCGTGCATGTTGCAATCAGCATTGTGCTGCAACAAGATTTTGCCAATGGCCGCGGCTCTCTTACCACCCTGCGTGCGACAACCAACGGTCTGGAATCCCAAAGAAGGCAGAACTGCCAAACACAGGGCCTTGTCGAAAACGGACATCAACACATGCAGAGGGGCATTTCCTGCAACACAAAAAGCACTGCCGGCGCGTGCTCGTGTCACTTGTCTGGCCACAATCATAGCATGCCCGTCCATCAGCATCCGTCTGATTGACGTCAGCTTTTCCTCGAATAAGCAACATCACCTCAATCAGCAAAAAACACGGCAATCACGAGACAGATGCTTCGGTCACATGTTACCCTGCACCGGTGCTGCCATGGGACCATCTGCGGGTCAAAGTTGACTGTGGCCACGTGAAGCGGCGAGCCAAACAGGCCCCCGCCACGATTCACGTCAACCCCCACCTTCAGGACAAGAGTGACAGAGGATGGTATGCCTCGTAGCACCACAACGCCCGTTTGCTGAGCGCGAAGCCCTCACAAGGGCGTTGGCGATGTCAGGATGCTCCTGAAAGAGAAATAAGTGAAAGGCGGATGCAAGTGTCGGTAACCCGTGGCCCGTGACGGACCTCGCGCACCGCTACAAGCAGCGGCGAGTAGCCCTCACAGTCCAAGGAATCGCACTTCGACCTCGGTGATTCAAAGTGCTGATTACAAGGGTTCTATGAGGGGGCTGCTACGATAAGGGTTCTACGTTGTAGAATCTACGAGGGAGTTTGGGATTGAGGATGGCATCTGGGCCCAACTCCGGGGAATCGTCTCGCTCAGGAATGCTCGGAACCTGACCCGTTCTCGGCCAGAGCCAGGGCTACACCAACATGTCCCTCGAGACAGGCCACGTGTAACCTGAGACACCAAGAAGGCGGTTGTGGGACAGGTCCAGGTCCAATCTGGTGCTCAAGAGACGTTGGGGTTTCGTCTGAGTCCTGTTAGTTGCTGTGTGCTTTTGCTGCTGGAGGTTCCTGACAGCCGTTGCCGGTGCTGTTTTTTGTGGAGCCCCATCGGCCAATCTGGATTTCCAGGCGATGCTCCCAGGTTTTTAAATGCTTTTAAGCGAATTGGCCAGGCCCGTCGCGGACAAGAAGCGCTTCTTGGCTGAATGCTGCAAGAAAAGAAGCTGCTCGACACAGTATTGATGTAAGTTCAGCACCGAGTTCTCCTTTTGGAGTCGATTGCGTTCGGATCGAAGGCCTTCTGCGAGAACTCCGAAAGGACCTCGAGGCCAGAGCATCGATGTGGCCCGCAAGAATTGCAGCAAACCCGGGCCTCTATGCAGCTCACACGAGCATCCTGCACAGGTTGGAACATGCTCAAACTCGCAAGTCGACACCTCTCTAACCCCATGGCGGTAGGAAGATGACGCAGGAGCCGCCTTGTCTTTCTTCTCGCGACAAAGGTCTCTGAGCTTCACGATGATGCGCTGGAAGACAAGCAAGGTTACACGTTGCAAGGAGCAAGACAGCAGAGGAGCACCGCACCTGCCACTCGGCTCCTTTTATCACTCGTGGCAGTGGCGGGGTGGTATACCTGTACGAGTACCACGCAACCACCCGTCTCTGCAACAACACGACATGTTTTTGGATACGTGCCTGAACCATTCCAATGCAAGCTCTTGCAAGTTTTCCAGCGCCCTTGGTTCGGCAGTGTTATAACTCTTTGAACTTCGGACGTGTTTTGTGGTTCGACTGCGGAGATGGCACTTTGAGAATCCCGCGACAGGCTGGAGGGTAAGCTTGTGAAGCTGTTGTGGTGCAAGTAGAGGGTCTGCAACTCCTTGCACCTGAAGAACAGTCGACGCACCGTGCGTTACTGAAAGCTCTTCTTGGCATGGAAAACACAATCGAAATGCTGCGGCTTGCAGACTGCGGCATCAGGGGAAGCGAATATCTTTACAATATGCTCCAGGAGATCTATGCGAATCTTTTCATACCCTGCACTCTCCACCATCCACTTCAAGCACATGTGTAGGTCAATGTAATAATGTAATATGTATATCCAAACAGTTTTGACGTGGAGAGAAGACGCGACCGCCAATATCACCACCTTCTGCTCCCTGCCACGCCGAAACCCTTCCCCATTAACCCCACGTGGGGCACTTCCCTGGCGCAGCAAGCAAGCAAGCAAGCAAGACTCTCAGAGTGAAAGCACCGCTTCGAGCTCCCTGCTGTCCAAGCTCTACCGGAATCTCTTCCAGGAAGTTGTCACCTGATCGTGTCAAGGCAACAGGCAACAAACAAAACTACGACGGTATTGAAAAACGAGCTGAATCTTGAACAGCATGTTTCAACGTGTGTCGACTTGCAATGATTTCTGCCGATCGCAGCATACTTCCAATGCTGCTGGCCTAGGCTGAGACTCTTCAGTGACTTCATGGATCCCACAGCCTCCAAGTTCAAGACCAGCGCACATCGCAAACAGTGCGGCTTTTGTCTTTGTCTTGCCATCTGCATCCTCGCCTTCGGCAGCATCTTCAAGAGGTTCTGGCTGAGGGATAGCCCTCTCAGATGCGGCAAAAGGCAGACCTTGGCAGGAAAGCCGGAAGAAGGCACAGATGACGCAGACAAGGTGGACGAGCCTCGTCCGGGATCTCCCGCAAGCGATTCTGATCCAAGAGCAGGTCCTGTCATTCCGCGCGTATGCCCTGGTCAGCTGTATCCGACTACGTACCCCTGCACATGCACGACAGTCAAAACACACACACACACTATGTTTTGAGAGCTGGCTGCACTATCGAAAGGTCTCGCGTTTCTCCTCCGAAGCCTTTCTGTGTCAACCACCTGTGCCAACACCACCACTGCCTCTCTGGCAACACTACGATGAGAGGAAAGCAGTACTCACGGCGACAACAAGGCCGACAACGGCTACTGATGCTAGTGGTACAACTACTGCTTCCTTTCCTCCTGATACTGCTCGCACTAGGAGCAGCAACAACGGGAGCTGTAGCTGCAGCAGGACCAGCAGCAGAAGCACCAGCAGGACGATAGATGCAGCAGCAGCAAGAAAGCAGTGCGATTGCAGCGGCTCCTGATTGAAAGTTTGCCAATATTTGTTAACAACAAGGCCGTTGCCATTTGGTGCCGTGTGCTGATCTCACCTACTTGTTGCACCTTGTTGCATGCGATCTAGAGCCATGGATATCTTTGAACCCACAGCAAAGAGCGATGGCTGCCAGACCCTACGCCATAGGATGGGTCGCGCGAGGCAGAAGATTCTGAACTCGAGTTTTTCGAAAGACGAGCCCTGTCAGTGTCACAAAATCTGAACCCGCCAAGTGCTGGGACCGCAACGGAAGCCGAAAAAAAACAAGAAGACAGACTGATTGATGGATTGACCGCCTGCGGATGTGCGAACACCATTGCACTTGCAATGCAACGAAAGGCAGGAGGTTGTCTCACTCGGATTGCGCTCGTAGAGGAAGTTAATCATGCAGAAGCTGCAATGGATTGGCAACGGATGTAGCAACTTGTACTGATTATCGTCCCCGGAGCCAGAAACCAGGACAAGGACTGCAATGAGCATCTGTTGGGGGAGGTCCAGAGGCCCAAACTGCTTGGTCCTCCAATTGACTCATCACCCGAATGTCTGGCAACAGCTCCTCGACGTGCTCAGGAACAGTGTTAAGGGATGAGCGAACGCTGAACGTCCTCCAGCGCATTCTTGCGAAGATCTAAAACCTGCTGTTCCACGTCTGGCTGCTGATCCACTGTGAGCACTGAGAGGGCAGCACCTTGACGTGCGTGAAAGCGCTCAGGACCTAGTACGAGCACGGGAATTGGCAAGACACCCCTCGAACGCCAGAAACACACAGAGTCACACAGAACCAGCTCAGAAGGCAATGCCACGGCCTGTGCCGGAATCGCCGAAATCTTGTGGTCCTTGAGATCGAGCACCTTCGCCCCAGAGAGTCTAAGAAGCATTCATACAGCCCATGTTTAGCTGCTGGAGCAGACCTGCAGGTTGTGCTGGGAGGCTGCAGTCTCAAGCGCCCCAAGATTCAAAGTGCCGAGCCTTGGCAGGAAGGTCTGCTGTCACGCATGTGATACAATATTGATAATAGAAATATTAATAATAATGATATCATACGACCTGTCGCTAAGGGTACGGCTTGGCAGTGGAAAGGGATGCGAACATGCCCTGCAGTAGCCGCAGAAACACGCCCTTCTCTGTATGAGGCGCAGTGCAACCGGGCCTTTGCCTCCTGGCTTGCCATAGAACGCACAGCTGCCTCTGCAGCCAAGAAATAGACATGGGACAAACCCTTTTCTTCAAGACATGCTGCGAACCTGACCGTGAAGCCCAAGTGCTAGATGATCGATGCCATCGCAACACGGCGGCGCGGAATAGCTGGTGCCATCACGACTTCCGGAAAAATGGCTGAGAACTACTGCATGGCTAGCCTGGTCCGGGCAAACTCGTCTCTGCGGTCTAAAAGGGCATGTCAACTCACAGCTTCGGTTCGGCAGAGTTGCATTTTGACAAGATCTAGATGGTTCTGCATGCATGTGCAGCAAATGCCCCCTGTGCTGCTATCTTCGAGCAAATCTCCTCGGATGCACAACTTGCGCGGACTGCGCGGCTGCTTGCTCCCACCACTTTCGCACATCTGTGTGAGCGCGGATTTTTTCAGGTCGGAAGGGATCCCGCGCTCACTTCCGAGAGACAGAGCAGGCGCTGTCGAGCCTCAGCCGTAAAAACGACCCGAGGCATGACTCCACTGGATCTTAAGACTCTTCAGTCTCCCAGGGAGGATGCAGCCAGAAGCATCGGCGCTTGCGTCAGAAGGTCCTTCCAAGGCAAAAGCTCGCTCCAAGCTTCGGGATTCCGCTTGGCTCCTGCCCGATCAAGGCGCAGGGCTTGACAACCTGCCCGAAGATCCTGTCTTCCGACAGAGAACCGGGCATCAAAGCTCTAGAGTCCCAAGGCAGGGGCTGTGCAAAGCTTGCCACGTCCCCAATGGCGACCTGCTACGTGGCTGGGACAGGGATCGCGGTCGTCACTTTGGCACTCCGAGACGCCCACCTCCACTGGGGCTGCATCCCAAGTATGACGTGGTGCCCGTCCCGCACCGCGCAGCTGGCAGAATGCGGGAGGCGGAAGTCGCAAAGGGAGTTACAGAAAACCACGGAAAACAACAATGCATAGAACGCCCCCAAACATCCGGTCCCCGCTGCTTCACAAACATGGTAATACCCCATATACCACCCCTTACCGCAACAAGGTCACCCTTGCAGGAGATCTCCAAGAAACCAGCCCTTCTCGGACCTGCAGGCTCAGATCCGCGACGGTGGGCATCAGAAGCTCCTGGCCCTTGGCATCCACGGAGCTGACACCTGCATCGAGCTGCTTGACGAGGGCTTAGGAGGGGGGGTTTTGATGGTTTGGGATTTCGAGTTTAGGGTTTCGACTGCAAAGTTTAGAGTCTAGAGTTCTTGATCCGGAACAACACTGTCCTGAAGAAGCGCTGCGGACGGGTCTCAGCTTTTATGCCCAAACGCAACACTGAACGGCGAGCCTCTTCGAGGCCTGTTCTGTGGTGGACACGGAGCTTCTCTAGGGTGAAAGAAGCTCCGGCGGAGGATCAGATTCTCTGATGTGGATTACCGGGGTGGAACTAACTTGAGGAAACTTGTGGCGCTTGGGACACCGGCAGGCTTCGGAGCATGCACGCACCATCCGCGCCGAAAAATGACAAAGGCAGCCGAACGAGTATCTGCAGCAGAACCGAACGGAATATTCAGGCATCGCTTCCTCCTTCCAGGCCACATTTTGTGCACTGACAGCTTTAACCGCTCGCAGCTGGGCGTGCAAACGCTGCACCTCGGATTTCGCTGTTCGGAGCTGGGCTTCTGTCCGTCGGAGCAGCATCGACTGGTCCCCTGCTTCGCGCGAGTCGCCGCGGCGGCCCTCCCTGACAGGTGGAGGGGGAATACGGCGGCAGGCTTCCAGTATGTCCCCTTCCGTGATTTCCAAGGACGGGTTCGTGGCCGAAACCACGGCCTCTCGAGCGTCCAGAGACTGCTTCGCGAAGTCGAAGAGTCGCTCGCAGAGCCCGCCGTTCATCATCTCGCGGGCCTGTTCCAAAGTGTTCGCCTCAATGACATTGGAGAGACGCTGGAAGCGGTTTGCTGACAGCGAGGGTGCAAGCTTGAAGCCGGCCCCACGGACGATGGAATTCAGAATTTCCGCGAGCTCACCAGGTGCGTAGTCACTAAAGTCGAAAGTGTAACCAATACGCCGGTAGAGGCCCGAGTTAGCCTGCATAAATAGGTCCATGTCGTCGGCATATCCTAGGTCCCTGGTCCCTTCCCCTGTGCACCGAACATGAATGTGTTATGTCTTGAGCTATCTTAAACAGTCTTCTTTAAAGGCATCTACGGCCGGGCAACCCGATTGGCAAGAGTCAGGGCAAAAGAAAATTTCTTCAACCGCAACCACGGATCCTGCAAAGACCATGATTGGCGCCTGACTGCGAATGCCATGCGGTCTGGAAAGCTTACTTTCCAGCCAGGACCATACTTGGGTAGTTCTCTAAATTCGGGTCGCACTTTGTTTTGGCTCCTTTTTGTTAAGGTGGCTGTACTATTTCGGGGGGACCCAAAAAGGGACCCTGGCTTTGAGCTTAGAGAACTAAGCCGCTTTCATGATATCTAAGACAACTTTGGGGGGGATCTCTTCTCGCCTTGCCCGGTGGATCGTTCATTGCACCCATGAGCTGCTCGATGGCTTCCCGGCCAAAGTCACTTTTTCCGTTGTCCTGGCTCAGGCGGTAGGCCTCATCGATGAAGAGGACGCCCTGCTTCGCCTGCTCGATGACTTTCTGCGTTTTTGGCCCGGTCTGCCCAACCTAAGTCTCAGAGAATTGGCAGTGGCCTGAACCGTTTCACTGTCCTCGCAAGGTTGCTCCACATCTAAGATGTAGCAGAACGAGCTATAGGAATCAAACATGAATCGAAAGACCACGTTAAAACGCACGTCAAGCAAGGCACATACTCTGCCACAAGCTTATCCCGCTGGACTTCCACCAAGAGGTCGGTCTGGATGATGCCAATTCGGTGCAGCAGCTGTGCAATCACTCTAGCCAGGGATGTCTTGCCCGTGCCAGGGTTGCCCTGCAAGGAAGGCAAGATCAGGGACGACTGTTAGAGAAGAGGCAAGCTGGTAAGGTGCATTCAACGCTGTTAATCAGTCTGGATCTGAAGCCGGACATGCGACCAGAGGATCGCAGCTGCAAGATGATCGTACGAGAGGGGACGGGTCGGAAGAAGCCCCGCAGCGGGCACCACTTTGCTCATCCCGCTGCATGCTTGTTATGATGATTGTAATGATTCATGCAAGCATCCCCCACAACAAGGCTCCAAACATGGCTGCACACTCAGAGGCTATGCGAAGCCAAGAGTGGGCACATACTGCGGTCCACACAGTTACGCCAAGCATCTCTCAGGGCATAGAGATTATAATTGTATTTCTAGTAACTGATGCACCATGCATGGTGTCTGCCGGCCCGTGAACGAATGCTTTCCAGTGACTGCTAGCGCATGAAGCTTGCGATCGCGAACACTTTTCTCCAACAAACGATCTTTCACATGTTCGAAGCCTGGAAGATCATGTGGTACTTGCCCCCTGTCTTCACCTTGTGTCCGGCATCCTCACGCTTCTTGTCCAGAACCACAGAATGGTGAAATTGCCGAATCTGCTGCTTCAGCAACTCGAGGCCCACGACCTTTACCAGACTACAAAGCAGAAGAGGCGACTGGGCTTGCGGCGGTAGGAAGCACTGACTCCACAGACCCTTGTGAGACGAAACCTCTTCTGACAGACTGAATGGTACTGAATGCAGAGGAATCATACGAAGCGATAGCCGTTAGCAAGAAACGCGTAGCAACGGAGAACCCAAGCATTCCCAAGCAGGCCCTGCTTAGCCCGTGGCCCGATCTAACTGGTATTCCAGCCACTCACCGGTACCTCCAGCATAGACCTCCAGTTCTGCCCAGCTAACAGTCGAAGACATGCTGAGATCGATTTCGGAGAACTTTTCCAGCAGTGGCGGAAAGATCGCCTGTCAAGGACAGCAGACCATTCTGACTCGAAGGTGATATCTGCGTTGTGATAGCAGAATTCCCCGGCCTGGATCCGTGCCCGGTGTTTGATCAGGTCAGCCACCCGGATCTGGCCGCCAGGACCTGCACACGTGAGAAAACGGCAGCTTCTTGCACCGCCCTTGGAAGCAGACGAGTTTCCGTTTCGGCCCTGCCTGCCACCTCATCGAACATGCTGCGCAGCTGTACCATGTCAACCTTTCGTCGCTCCTCGGCGCTCGCAGCCTTGCCCACGCAGTAGTCGAGGAAGGCCGCGCGCGTGACGCGCCCATCTTTGGCAACGGACTCGTACTCCCGAATGAAGTCCGGACACTCGGCTTCCAGGAGCTTCGCTTGCTTCAGCACATCGTGAACAGTCACGAAACCCCGTCTGCTGGTGTCGAGCTTGTCCCAAACACGGATTGCTTCGGCCTTCGACTTTTTCCCAGATGACGGTCTAGTGGGGCTGTACTTCTTTGGCCCTCTCTTCATGCAGCGCTGGCGGCCAGCGAGTACATCAAGCTATAGCACGGAGCGACAGAGCCATCAGAGACAGGCTCAGAATCGAAACCGCACTAAATCCCGGAAGCACAACGCACCAGTCTATATGAAAATGTGTCCGAGTGGGGGTCCGGTGCAGTGCTACTCCAAGGTGTGGTTTCCAGGCTACCTGGCTTTATCCTCCTCAACACTTCTCATGATCTTTCAGTTTCAGCTTTTAGCCAAACGGCTGCAATCCAGCACAACCGCTGCTGCATTTCTAAACCCAGAAGAAGAACACGTGGCCTTGAAGGATTCGAAAGCCCGGACAGTATGATGCCCCTCATTACTTGTCAGACTTGTCATATCTCGCTTAGCTACCGGACCAGGGAGCCCGCGGCCTCCGCTTGAGCTTAGCATCTGCTGAGCATCTTCCTGGCATCCGCCGACGGAAGCTGACGCCGACCGGGTTTAGGGTTGAGGGCTGGGTAGACCTCCGCGAGATTGAGCAGCATCTTGGCAGCAGCCCAGTTGAAAACCTTGGGCGATGCAGTGCTGTTTGAGGGCTGGCGCAGAGAGCTGCAAAAACTCGCACCTGGAGTGCAACACCCTGCTTGTAAGGCAGCATCCGTGAAGGATGCTCCCGTGTCGATGACTCCACAGACACCTGCAAGTGGCTTCGTGAGACGGAGATGCATTTTTGCATATAGGGTTGTGTCTGCAACAACGCCAGCTGGGTCGCTGGACACTGGTCTGTTCCAGGCAGCCCAAGATGAACTCCAAGAAGGCGGGCAGGCAAAGGAGCTGGCAGGAGCTCAAGGGACAAATACTGAATTGGCAACCTCCATGGTGAACCTGCATCCGTCCGTCCATCCATCCAGTCACCCACCCACCCACCCACCCACCCACCCACCCACCCACCCTTGCCCCTATCTCCCCAGCCGCAAATCCCCCCCATCCCCCATCACCCCGTCCCCCCACCTGTCCCCCTCTCTGTATTTCTTTCGCCCTCGCCCTCTCCCTCACTTCGGGGCGGAGGGTCCCTCTCTCTGTCTCTGCTCGCTGCCGCCAGAAGGCCGGTGTCCGCGCTCCTCGGAAAACCTAGGCATCAATCTGACGAGATGCCGGGCCAGGGACCCAAGCTCCCTACCGACTACCCATGAACCGCAATCATCATCGTCATCGCACGACTTCCATCTCCCACTCTGCCTGTCGTCAGAGTGACCATGTCGTTTGCGACCGCTATCTTCTCTCCACAGTCTGCCTCTGGATGTACCATCATCTGCAGCAATCAGTGCATGCAGCAATCAGCTCAGAACCGATCCCTCGTGCCTCGTACAGTCGGAGGGCCGATGCATCAACTTCCATCTCAGCTTTCAAGCTTGAATGCACGATGCTCCGGCAGCGTGAAGTTTTAGGCCAGTTCCGTAAATCGCTCGAAGAACTCCATACCTTGCTGAGCTCAAGTCTGAGATGAGGGCGTTGAGATCACAACACAGCCGTCAACCAAAAAACACGTGCGCCCCCCTCTACCAGCCACAACACCAAACCAAAGCTGTTCCAATAGCAAGAAAGCAAAAATCTCCGTTTGTATTCCACGGAGCCATCGCAAATGTGTTTTAACGATCGGGAATCCTCTAACCTTCACTTGGAGCCATGTGAGCCGTGGAAACCTCCTGGAACCTTCTGCGCTCACGCATACAAGCTCAGAGTTTGTGGCCATTTGTGCTTCTTGAGGTTTTTCTATAGCCCCATCGCTGAAAAACCCGGCTTTAGCCAGCTAGTCGAGCCAGTTCGGGAGCGTGCGCTGATGCTGGCCTGACACCATAGTGGCTTTTGGAGTCAAGGAAGCAGGTCGCCCTTTCAAGCCTTTGGGGGTCAGCCTTCAGGTGTGTGGGCACATGCAAACCGAACGAAGCAGAGTCCCGAGCCGAGCATGCCATCTATTTGGATGCCCATCGACGCTCCCATCCTGCCGACAAAATACTAGTGACCATCAACAACAACCTCATCATCATGGTCATAAGAAGTATATCAACGAAATGACTGAAACTGTAATAGCGATAACAATAGTAGGAATAATCATTACAATAGTAAAAGAAGAATAGTAGTAATCGCAACAGGGATAGAACCAGTCATAATAGTAACGGTAAGAAGTAGAAGATGAAGAATAAGTCCACAGCGTGGCCGGCAAGGCTAAAAATGTAGCCCGCCCAACTACTCGAAGGCAATTACCATCCTTACCTTGTTAGCCTCCTCCACACGCACCCTTGCTCTCCCTGATCCTCACCCATGCAACCCCACACTCACTGAGCCCAGTGGTATCGGCACTAATTTCAACAGGCAGCTGGGCCTGTGTGCTCCCGAGCTCTTAGCAAGGAGGCATCCTGATCCTTCCCTTCCACCGGCCTGACCTTCCGCTCACCCATACCTTGCTTTCAAAACCTACGTTTCAAGTCCCTGCAAGGGCAAACCGGATGCAACAAGGGGTCTGCCAGCAATGTCACAACAATTACAGAATCCAAAGGCTTGGGCCCACCTCCGCTGCGGGAAGTCCATGATGAAAGGCCTTCCAACCACAAAGGCTGTCGAACCGAAACACCTCTGCAGGAGAAGGAGATGGCCTCAAAGAGCCAATTGGAAGGCCTTCGCGGAAGCGCAAGTCCTCCAAGATCACCTCGTCACTCTCCGTGGCAGTCCCAACAGGGGCTCGGGATGCAGGGCATCCGAGGGCCAACTGTGGGAACTTCTCCGCGTGCTTGCCGCGACGGCCTGACAAGCGTGAAAACCCAAGACCTGCATCTAGAAACTCATGCAACATACTCATGTAGCAGCAAGCGAATTTTTTGAGCAAGACATGCCTTTCGACACCCAATTCGTCAGCTCTGCCCGGGTAAAGGATGGACCTGGCAAAAACATGCTAGCAGCAGTGACATTCTCATTCCCTGGCAACTTCGCAAGGGAGAACGTCGTGAGGCCCGTGTCCAGCATGAAATTCAGCTCAACCTCGAACCGTCAAGAGGTCGGATCGAATCGATGTGCCCCTTCTTGTGTCGAAGACCTCGTCTCCACCCACCAGCTTGAGAATGTCGTAGCCTCTACCCAGAAAGTCCTGGCACGTCTTTGGAGGTCAAGCTGGGCCGGCAGAAGCCCCCCAACCCCAAAAAACTACAGAAAAAAAAGTGGCTGATAAGCGTCTTTTCTGGGCATGCCAGGCTCAGGAGCGTCGCAACGCGGGCCAGCGCATGGAGAACCCGCGACGTGCATGAAACAGCCCCAGATAGTGATATGTACATGCGACCTCCGGAAACAGAAGAAAAGCCGTGCTGTAGACCACCATAGACGGCCCAAGTACGACGTTGCTTCTGTCAGTCGCTCGTTTGAAACTAGAAGAAATCAGATTATGCCTTTGGCCATACAGACACGTCGGCATTGAGGTTCCGGCTGCCTATGAAGCAGGGACCCTCAGGTGTCGGCATACGGATGCGAAGGCCTCCTCGTCTCAGCCTGTCAAAGAGCTGGACAGATTGAAGAGATGCTCTTTTACAACCACCGCCATCTGACATGTAAACTGAGCGACACAGAGTCACACAAATCAGCCTCATCAGTTACCACCTCTTGCTATGCAAACCTGATAGGTTGCCCGTGGTACCATGTTATGCTCTTCCCAGCATACACTATCCGCTTCTGCTGCTTGCCGTGATGCAGACACTGCTATCTTTCCGGCTCGGGCCGTCCAAAGTGTCATGGTCTGCAAACCTCCTGCCTGCCCCCCCATCAAAATCCACAAAAAAGCATCCCTCCAGGCCGTCCTCCGTCGGTAGAAAGGCTTGCTTCTGTAGCAGAAGTCGCCTCGTCACGGGCTCTGGCCATTGGGCTCCACTCCACTGATCCACGGCATGCCGAACCATGGAGCGTTGGCGAAAAGTCTGGCGCCTCCCTTTTGCTTCGAGTGTGAGCATGATCTTCTTTAAAGCATCCTGTGAAGGACTGGGCAGTGCATTCTTTGGGCAACAAAAATCGCGGCTGCCTCGCTGCCCACAACAGCCGAGGAATCTTTGGAGTGCAGCCTGCGTGCCGGGAGTAACATGGACAAGCCATGTTCTGAATCCATCAACGTAAGGCCCGCGCTTGGACAGCCTGGCACGCAGCTCCTCGCGAAAGACCATTTTCCGACAGCATGAAAACTCGAATCTGGCAGCGTGCAGGTGATGGAAAAACCGTCACTCCTCCGACTGCCTCTCGCAGATGGACAGGCTTCGGCGCTCTTGCGCTTGGGCAGTCCTCCGGTATTGTCAGACGTAAAACTGCAAAAATTGTTTAATGCGATATCTATGTGCATGCGCACGTGCAAGTTACAAGCACAAGGCTGGTGCGTCCGAAGGCATCTGGAGACACGGCAGGTGCATTTATACATACACACGAATGCATATGCATTCGTATAGCTATATGTACATGTATATAATACACATGTTTAGATAAACCTGCACCTATTATGTGTATACGTTCGCGTATATGTATCTGCTGTATCTTGTACACACATACATACATACATACATACTACATATATATATATATATCTACCCATCGACATGTTTCCATCCTTGTGTGTGTTCGGGTGTGCACATAACCTGTATGTCATCACACGCGTACATGAGTATGTGCTTAGATACTGTATGTGTGTGTATATGTATATAATTGCATGGATCTACATGTGTTTGATTTACCTCGGTTTACTGAATATGCACCTGCTGCATGTGGCTATTTATTTACTTGTCAGCCGTGGTCCAGCATCTTGAGCATCAGTCACACTGTTAATCGCTCTAGCGCTCGCCTTTGCACGCGCTGGCACGGTGCCTGTTCTGAAGCAGGTCCTACATTGTTCGCCTGCAGTAAAGAGGCCGGGGTTTAGAGCAACTCTCAAATATGCGCACAGATGTTTGTGACCCCCCACCCATCCACCCTGACGACGAGCGCGCACATCACGAAATGCATGAATCCTTGAATTTAGGCGTCGGTCTCTGCAAAAGGTTCACTCTACTGACTCATCATACGTGCACGTGAACACGTGCTGCATTCGTAGTTAATGATTGTGACCTATCCTTTTGGACTTCCAGTGACATAACTCGTCAAAGAAGACATGCACACGGAACTAAGGAAGCTCCTGACTTCGTCTTCTTGAACTTTATTTCGAACCTGCTCGAGCTCCTGTCATATGGTGCAACGTTGGGCGCAACTTATGCAACTCACAAGGAGCCTTCAGATGCAGAAGACTTGCAATCGCCTTTGAAAGGCCAAGGAAGCCCCCGAAACCTCTGCCCAACAGTCAAAAGCTTGGCATCGGCAGTAGTTCATCCCATCATCCTCCTCAAGGTGCTTCACCTGCACCTCACCAAATTAACCAGCGATGCAAGACAAAGCAGGTGAGCAGCGGTGATGCCTCGACCCTTCCTGCATCAAGCCGGCAGGCGGAGAACTCGGCCTGCGGAACGCAATCTGCAGAATAAAGGGCTAAAGTGGCTAAAGCGCAGTAGTGAATGGTGCTGGTATCGCAGGCTCCTGGAGCTCATGCTCCTCCGATAAAAGTCCCTCCAAGACCTGCCGAGGCAAGGCAAGATCAACACCGTTCCGAGCAGAACTGTGCAACGGGCCTCACTGCGGGTGACAGGTAGGGCTGTTGAAGCAGTGTCGGAAACAAGACTGCCTGCGGACCACCAGCACCAGAAGGCTACTTCCTTCCACACACTTCTGACAAGTGTTCGCGTGCAGCAAGCCGGCCTGACTTGCGCAGTTCGGCTGCAAGACACTGAGCGATACTTTGCAGCTTCTGGACTTGCTCGACCTTGTCGCGAGTCTCATCCAACTTCCTGGTCTCGTCCAAGAGCTCTGCCTGAGCTTCGTTGTCTTCGTCCTTTCGCACAGCTTGATCTTCAATGGTGGAATCTTGCAGCATCTCTTCGATGCGCTCCTCTGTCTCTAAGCATAGGGATTGCACTGCTTGGACTGATTCCTCAAGGCCTGCTACGGTCTCTTGGCTTTCACAGAGCTGACCCTTCAAATCGGCAGCAATCTGTTCTTGGATCGTCATGCCATCTCTCGCATCATTGGTAGCCGTGAGCTCCTTCTGGGTATGATCCGTGGTTTCGCGAAGCTCGAGCTGCAACTCCGATGTCCTGCTGTCCGCAAGCCGGATCTCCGAGCGCAAGCGGCTCACAAGTCGGCCATCTTCCGCCTGGATCTTCTCAGAGCGACTTTGCAACTCCTGCCGTTGGACCTGTCTGCGCAGACAGTCGCTCTCATAGTCCTCTGCTTCTTGCAACTCCTCCTCCATTCCTTTCATCTCCTCAGCCTGTCGCTGAACGCTTGCACCGAGGATCTGCAGCCGCTGCTGCAGTTCATCAGCCTGCGCCTTTCTTTCTTTCATCTCTGAGGCATACCGGCTTTGAAGGACTTTGGCTTCTTCCAGTGCAGCTTCCGAACATCTTTCGGTCAACTGCACGTCCTTTTCGGCCAGGCTCTGTCTCAGCTCCACGGCCGCAAGCTCCAAGCGTCTGCGCTCCTGTTCGAAGACGTCTACAGCCAGCTGGGCTGCCATGCTCCGCTTGACGCAACCACTACCTCCACTAGCTTGACGTCTACCTGCCTTCTGGAGCCGCGCACAGCGATCTAAAACAAAACGCCAGCGGCAAGAAGAACCCCTTCGAACAGCAGCACGCGGTGAGCCGCGTCCTGTGAAAGGCTGGGGAAGCATCGCCGTTCCTGCAAAACGGGCGATCTGCAATACATTGCATTCACTCCGCTCCAAGATGCTGCGATGCTGCCGGGCAGATCACCGAAAGAAGGATCCTCCACAAGCAGTCCAGGGTGTCTTGCACTCCGGGGAAGCGCCAATGCCTCATTCGAGCAGTGAGCACACGATTTGCGAACAGGTGCCAGGTCTCACATAGGGCATGGCGCAGGAAACCTTCTGCTGTCCAATCCGCCGACCTTCGCCCACAGGCATTCGACCGCTGCTACACATCTACACAAGCAAACCATCTCGGCAGCATGGATGACAATTGGCTGGTCGGTTTTCTCTGCTCACGTGTTAACATCGCTTTCAGAAGTCCTTCCTGTAGTGTGAACCTCCTGTCGAAACAGTAGCTACTAGTAGCTCCACAGCAGCTCCACCGCCTGGCCTGCGCAAAACACTGCAACGAGCAGAAATGCGAGGCCGATGTTGAGACGGGCTCCTCAATGCACCAGACATGCAACTACAACTTGTTCTCCGAATGTTCGTCCTATCCCCCTGCTTGACAGGCCTGTGCGGCGTGAACAGGGCATCTGGAGCATTCCTTCATTCGGCACTTGCCTCTACCAACATGATAGCCAGTTGAGAGGCCATTTCTGCCAGCCACAAAGATGACATCTCTGAAGCTATACTTTCTGCGATGAAGACATGAGTGAGTGTGCCTTGCAGCCAAAATGCAATGCGGCAGGTACTCGTTGATTCGTCCCTTTGTCTACGACATGTCCATATCCGGCACAGGGTGAAAGCAAAGCGAGTCGGTAGTGACAAGCAGATCCCACTCCCCTGCTTCTTTGCCGTGAGGTCTGTTCAGCCGAGGTAAACGGTTCTTCGTTGTGCACGCTCTTCGGTCCCGTGAAGATGCCGCTTTCATTTTGTATGGATGAATATGATGTCGAAGAGAGGAAGCTTGTACTGTCTCAGGTCGTGACCAGCCGTTCCATCAGGTCTCGGATTCGGATGATCCCTCGACCACTCCCTCATGACTCTTGTGCCTGGGTCATGAAACCATGAAACCGTAGCAGCTTGCAGACTTTGTCAAGCAAACCTCAAGTGGTGCTGGGAGGGAGAGTGTGTTACGAAGGCACCCCATACCATGGCTAAGCAACATCACAACTGTCGGCCGACTCTGGCATTCATCAGGTATCGACCTCAGAATTGACCTTAGAATTTCAAGCCCGAATCCAAAAGCAACCAACAAGTGCAGAGAGAGAGAGGGAGAGCAGGGGGAGCAGAGCTCCCGTTCCGTTGCAAGGATTCCTCTCTTTTCACGGCTGCCACCATCGTCAAGGCATGAGTTATGTCTGACATGCTTGGCAGCGCTTGGCTCGGCCATGAGGTAAAGAAGGTGCCAGTCACACAAGCGCTGGTCAAGCCCACCCGGCCTAGACCAAGACCTAGGCACTTTTCCCAGGCGACAGACGCCATGAAAGCTATCTCTTAGGGTTTGGGCCGCATCATCGGGTCCTGGACTACAGCTGAAAGACTTACCCCTCTAAGAACCGAAGAAGCTCCTGAAAGCAACGTAGATGGAAGCATTTACAACCCCGCAACAGGGGATTACGGTCTTGGGTATAGTTTGATACCCTAAGACCTGCAGCTTCAAAGCAATCGACCAAGGAAAACTGTACTCAACATGACCGAGAATCCAGCTGTCCACACAGTTGTTCGTGTGGCCAGTGGTGTGTGCCACGATGGGGTCTTCCCCTGCCTGGGTTCTATTCCAAGCACGGCAGTCTGTGGAAGCTACATCACTGCTGCAAACGCTAGGAAAAGGATCGAGGCATGGCTTCCAAATCAAACCCTCTCTAAACGCGCGCTGAGACATCGGACCAGGAGCCGGTCTAAACCCGATGAGTCATAAGCTATGACATCTGAATGCTTCAACAAACTACACAACTCGGATTCCGAGTCCGTTGACTTTTACAGGTAGTCCTGTGCATCTGCAAGGTAGACAGGCTCAAGCAACTGCACCGAAACCACACGGCAAAGAATCTGACACATATTGACGCTTCGCAGGCTGAACTCCATGCAGACACCGGCGCTACAATCAGTCCAAGTCGATCAACACACAAATTATTTTCCCGAATACTACTAGGTCGTGAAAGTAAAACACCCTGAGAAACAGTCGAGAGAATCCGCTACGTTGCAGATAAATGCTGAAAGGCGTGCAAAACCAACCGGTAGTACTGGAGACAGTCGACGCAAGGACTGTGATCCTGTCGCCGATGACGCCGACGAAAATGAAGATGGGTTGAAGAACAAGCTGAAGACTTGGTGACTGCGATGATAACATTGGTGATCATAATGATGATGACGAGTTCAGTTCCAACGACATGTGGGTTCGTGTTCCAACAAAAAGACAAAGAACTTGACAGCTTATTCGCCCAGTTGCCCTTGTCCCATGCATCCCAGTCCAAGCACAGAAGACCACGTTGTCATGGTGCATCGGCACAAAGGTCCAAGCAACCCTGAGATCGGTCGCGTGGTGCCCCGCAGAATGCCAGATATCCCTTCGCACAACGTTTTGGAGCTTCAGCTCGGCGCGAGAGACTTAAGAAGCGGGTCCGTTTGAAAGGCCCTATGCAAGGAGGTGTCACTGCATGACTACATGTCTACAAGCCTTCAGAAGCAAACGGGGTATGGCGTCGGAAAACATGTTTTTGTCTTACCCCCGGCGCTGGGAAACCATTTTTCTTAAAGCTTGTGCTCTTCATCCTTCCATGCGGCAAAGATGAAGGCCCCGTTCTGAAACCTTCAGAAAAGCAAAGGTTCTTAAAGCTATGGCATTTTGAAAGAGTGTAGAGTGCACGGCATAAGGCTGGACAATTTGTGAACGGTCGGCCTAAAAGGCAGCCCCTGCTACGAGGCTGATGTCGAGGTGCTCTGGTGCATCTGGCTGGTACGACTGCCAGCAGGCAGACAAAATGAACATGCACACCGGGGCCGAGCAAGAATCTACAGACACTGCTCGGGAACACGTGCATGCGGGCTGCATGTGACGAGGCATCCCACAAAAAGAAAGAGCAACAGCCAAAACTAGCGCGGGTGCAAGGCAGAAGCGGCCAGTGACGGGCCACAACATCCTGCGCGATTCTGGCTGGGACTCTACCAGATCGACAAGAGCCACGAGACACACACGGCTACCGGTTGCTTGGCTCAAGTCCTGAGATGCGCACCTGAAGGGAGATGGTTGAGAGGAAGGCAACCGGTGACAAGCTCCTCATCGGATACTCCCTTCAGGTGCTTGCGGGCCTCTGTGGCAGGAGCAGGCAACACCACACTGACAACCAGACGCAACCGCAAAGGCCACCAAAAGATTGCTTCTCTGACCACCAGCCGGGGCCTCTGAACTCGGATCAAACTACCCACGCCAAGACAACCATGGAAATCAAGCTGTTCAGGAGTCTTCGGTATGGGCACTGCCCGGCAGCTGCCTGATAGCGCCCTACTGAATCCGCTGACTAGAACCTGCCCATCCTCTCGACCTGCAGGGGACATGAGTTTGCCGGCGGTCCTGCGAGAGAGGGACGAAAGCGACGACCGACGCTCTGCAGCCTTCCCCTTCACACCGAATGTCAGTCGACTTGTGGAAGCCTGGCCTGATGAACGATCCTGTCCCGTCGACAAACAGGACACCCAGAAGCAGAGGCCTTGGTGAAAGGCTTGCACCGGTGCCAGCGGTGCTTTGGCCACAAGATTCCTAACTCCCAAATGTGGGCCCAAGTTATGCAGCATCTGCTTTGCTCGTCGAATACCTGCCTACGCTGCGATGCACGGAAGCCTTAATCCGGTTTTTCAAGAGCTTCAAGCATCTATCCGAATCTATCCTTGGAAACATTGACTGTGCTTTGCCTTTTTTCTCTGGCACTAAGCAGCTACTTGAAAGCCAGACTTGCACACACCAGTGGGCTCCATGCCGTCACAACCGCAACTTGTGCGCAGAAAATCGGCAGCGCCGGAGTACTAGGAACATGTGCCAAGCTCCGTAAAGGTATGAGAGCTCAGGAACGGGGGAGCTTCAAACACAGCACCACGTCTCCGCTCCGCCATGTCTCCTGCCGATACCGGCTCCCAGCGCTGCACGTGCTGTCGAAGTAAGAAGAAAGCCTATCATCTCTGAGCAGCTCGATTGCTGGCGAAATGCCTCTTCTGTGAAGAAGCGGCAACCGACAGCAAGAAAAAGGGGAGAGAAGAACCGCTCATCTGCCACGGTTGCCTGCTACGAGGCTGATGTCGAGGTGCTCTGGTGCATCTGGCTGGTACGACTGCCAGCAGGCAGACAAAATGAACATGCACACCGGGGCCGAGCAAGAATCTACAGACACTGCTCGGGAACACGTGCATGCGGGCTGCATGTGACGAGGCATCCCACAAAAAGAAAGAGCAACAGCCAAAACTAGCGCGGGTGCAAGGCAGAAGCGGCCAGTGACGGGCCACAACATCCTGCGCGATTCTGGCTGGGACTCTACCAGATCGACAAGAGCCACGAGACACACACGGCTACCGGTTGCTTGGCTCAAGTCCTGAGATGCGCACCTGAAGGGAGATGGTCGAGAGGAAGGCAACCGGTGACAAGCTCCTCATCGGATACTCCCTTCAGGTGCTTGCGGGCCTCTGTGGCAGGAGCAGGCAACACCACACTGACAACCAGACGCAACCGCAAAGGCCACCAAAAGATTGCTTCTCTGACCACCAGCCGGGGCCTCTGAACTCGGATCAAACTACCCACGCCAAGACAACCATGGAAATCAAGCTGTTCAGGAGTCTTCGGTATGGGCACTGCCCGGCAGCTGCCTGATAGCGCCCTACTGAATCCGCTGACTAGAACCTGCCCATCCTCTGGACCTGCAGGGGACATGAGTTTGCCGGCGGTCCTGCGAGAGAGGGACGAAAGCGACGACCGACGCTCTGCAGCCTTCCCCTTCACACCGAATGTCAGTCGACTTGTGGAAGCCTGGCCTGATGAACGATCCTGTCCCGTCGGCAAACAAGACACCCAGAAGCAGAGGCTTTGGTGAAAGGCTTGCACCGGTGCCAGCGGTGCTTTGGCCACAAGATTCCTAACTCCCAAATGTGGGCCCAAGTTATGCAGCATCTGCTTTGCTCGTCGAATACCTGCCTACGCTGCGATGCACGGAAGCCTTAATCCGGTTTTTCAAGAGCTTCAAGCATCTATCCGAATCTATCCTTGGAAACATTGACTGTGCTTTGCCTTTTTTCTCTGGCACTAAGCAGCTACTTGAAAGCCAGACTTGCACACACCAGTGGGCTCCATGCCGTCACAACCGCAACTTGTGCGCAGAAAATCGGCAGCGCCGGAGTACTAGGAACATGTGCCAAGCTCCGTAAAGGTATGAGAGCTCAGGAATGGGGGGGCTTCAAACACAGCACCACGTCTCCGCTCCGCCATGTCTCCTGCCGATACCGGCTCCCCGGGCTAAGCTCGGCGCTATGCTCGCGAGCTGACAAGCTCATTGTCAAGGAAGCAGGCCTGGCATGTCGCGGTATTCACCATCGGAAACTGTTTATGGACAGGGCCTATGGGCCAACGGGTTTATGTGCTTTCCAGAAACCTTGCCGGAATGACTATGCCGGGACTACCGTCGGGATGGAGCAGTAGGGATTAAGACGGGTAGAACTACGAGCAGCGGCTTGCTTGGAACTGCAGCGGCATCAGGCCCATTGCAAGTCCAGCGAAGATCCCAGAAGTTGCGCAGGGCCCAGCTTCAAGTCAGGGCAGAGGTGACACGGAGTTTGGGACTGTGAGAGCCTTGTCACCGTCAGCCTCCAGCCAGCATTTACTGCAGGGGGCAAAGGCCGTCAGTATCTTTGAAGCACGGCAGAAGCAATGGCAGCTCTGGGAACTGAAAATTTGGACGCACTTTTCCCCAGCTTACAGTTCAAGGCCCACCCCAGTCACACGGCCTGTGAGGGCCGGAAGTGCCTAAACACAACAGGACCGAACGCTTCAGAACGTTAGGAGGACTGGCGCCTGAGGATTCAGCTGGGCTCGGGCTCACAAAACCCAGACACGTTGACCAGCTTTGGCCACCAAAGGCTTCGGAAGCCTGAAACCAAGGCCTGCCCAGTTCGCAACACACTTGCGGACATAGGGAAAGCTCCGTTGAACTTGAATCGCCGAGAGGAAAGGGCGTGTCGCATAAATGCGGATCTGCCACTTGCGGCCCGAACTTATCTCAGCCTTGCGGCCCCACATCTGTCTCGGCGAAGATGAGACCGTTGGACGTGATTTTCCACAGAACGAACGCAGCTCCTGAAGCCCATTTGCCCTTGCTCCCAAAGTTTTGGAAGGTTCCACAAAGCACAGCCAACGCAAACCTTGGATCTTAAGACAACATTACAACTTCATCAAATCAAGAAGGCCAACCCGGTCCTGGCGGCCTTTGCTGGGAATCTGCGGGCCGCCTCGCACAAACCTCAACCGTGAAGCAACGGCATCACGAGGTCCTAGCCGGCCCTCTGCATGGTCTTGCAAAACCGAAGGTGCCCATGTGGTCTCAGAGAGCACGGGAGGCTGCCACGAGACGAAACGAAACTCCCGCGGCGGTAGGCTTCCCAGCGGCAAGATAGCAGATTAAATCTTTGGAAGCACCGACGCATCCAGACTTGCCGTGGTGCTCGAGGGCATCACAAGCTTTAGCCTATCTCAGATGTGGAGCCTGCCATGTGCATTAAGGTTTCTCTCCGGCCCCAGAGCTCTTGAGAGACACGGCAAGGGGCTCTCGGAAGCCTTGATGCAGCTTCCGTTGGGTCGGGTGCGGCGGGCTCACTGGAGAAACTACTTTGAGGGTTTTAGGGGCTTAGTTGGCAGTGGATGGGCTTGACATGGACGGTCTCTGAGGAAGGCAGCACGAGGAACGGGCAAACATCATGCAACAACATAACCGTAGCCACGGCACGCATGGCAAATGCGGCTGCTTCCAAACTGTGCGTCACCGCTACCTTCGGACAGGAGTTGCTGTCTCGGGTCACCACGATGCGCATGTGCAAGCCTGCACTGGGGAGCATTTGGGCACGCAAGGCTGGGCCAACTTGGCCCTTTAATACCAAAGCACCTGGGCGTGAACATGTGTGAAAAACATGAGGAAACGGCCAAAGCGGGAAGCCGAACAGATCGTTCCCTGTCCCTACCCAACATTGAGAGAAGGAGCCGTCCTCCAGACCCGGAGCACAGCGGCGCAGCTTCACCCGCAAATTTACCACGTGCATCTCAGCCTTCCCTTGGCAAAAGCCTAGGAGCCTAGGTCCTCGGAGATTCCTCCGGCACCAGTCGAAGTTTCCAACTGCAGGGCCGAGGCCGCGAAAGCAAGGGAACCCAACCCGCGCAGCGCAATTTATGCAATTGATGCAACTTGCGGGATCCTAGAATCCTAGCTTTGCTGCGGACGTAGACGTGTCACTGTGCCCACATCAAGCAAGCTGCAGTCAATGAAGCTGCAGCTGCTGGCAGCCATTACCTTGCATTGGCTGTAAATTGAAGACTCGCGGCACGAAGTTGCCTTGCTATTGTTGCTCGGATCAATGACAGCGATGCTGCAAGACTTCTTCTTGGGATTCTTACCGAAGTTTCCACAGTGGCTCCGTCCCTCTACCGGCTCTACCGCCTTGGCGGGCCGGATGACTGCCTCAGACGATGAAACGAGGACGAGCAGCAGGCCAAGGGGTGACCAGGCACGTGAAGGAGCGATCTGTATCAACCTGGACAAGCCAGCGCCCGAGCCTGACCCGGAAACTTGGAGCATCGGAACCGGTGCTGCCATCGCCACACGAAACACACTGTGACGACAACATCAGCCTCGATCTCCGAGCCACCACCAGGCCCTCTTGCTTCAGACAGCCTCTACAACGACGGATACTCGGCACATTGGAAAGAGACGCCTTTTCACGAAGGCTGTTTCCGAAGCCTCCGCGAATGCCAGTGCCGGAATCGTTTTCGCGAGAGGCCAAAGTTAGGGAATCTCTGCCTTGGTTCCCTTGGTGCACTCTGTGGAATGGATGAGCCTTGAGCGGCTTTCCTCCAGCAGGCAGTCTCACATGTCAGGCCCCACGGGCCCCTGGAATCAGCTTCTCGTGGCTTCCACGATGTGCCTTTCAAGGCCAAGGCCGTGGGCCTGCCCTTTAAACCTTCGTCTCTGGTCGGACATCACAAGTGAGAAAGCAGATCAAGGAGAGAGCAGCCGCATTGTTGTCCACTTCTCAAGGCGAGCTGTACTTGTTATGGGATATCTGGACGACGGAACAGGCCGGAACGTTCGGGACGCTGCAGCTTTTTCGGGCAGTGCTTCGCAGGGCTGATGCCTCTAGGAAGGATCTCACGCACCTCTTCTCCTCCTCAGTTTCAGGCGTGGGCATGGTGCACCCGATGGCCGGCGTCGGAATGGAAGGATCACAGAACGGCCCTTCCCCTGTTGCCTGCCTGTCGCAAGCTGCCAAGGCTCGCTCCGAGAGCAGAAGGCTTCTGGAAGCATCTTAGCCTCCGTTTGCAGGGACGGAGAAGGAGGCAAAAGACTCCCCCCTTGGGCGGCGGCGCTGAAGGCACCTCGGAAAAGAAGCTTTCTGTCACCCTCAGAGCCCTCTTAAGCCCCCCCTGGCCCTGGGCCAGAGCTGCGCAGACAGAATTCGAATCACAGAACGGATGACGACTACGCGAACTCTGTGCAGCGCGTGGAAGAACTGCATTTGTTCAGACCCTTAAAGCCTGGAGTGCATGCTTTGAGAAGTTTGCTTTGCGAGCCCGGCAGCCCAGAACGGCAGAGGCACTCCAGTGATACTTTCTGTGACAGGCTCAATCGAGATCCTCAGGATGGATTCTTGAAGGATTGAGACTCCGGTTTTGCGATGTTACGGGCAATCTTCAAGTCTCTGAAGATCTTGCCTGAATAGGCAACCAGCTGGGCCAGACCAGGACCAGTTCGCGCTGATTTCGCAGCATGCGGCCGAGGCCCCCAAAGGAAAACTGTGAGGGGCCGGGTGCCCCACCGCACATATCGGATCGCTCTGAGGTCTGCCGGCAAAACACCGAAGCTCCCAGACCAGATCGGGTCGTCAGAGGGCAGATGCGTTTGTGAAGCTGGCAGGCCTGCAAAACCTCTCTGCCACGTGTCGTCAAGGTGACACCCGTTCGAGCTGATTGTCTAGCTGAGCATTGCTCATAGAGTATTGCTAGCAGCGGCTGCCCCAGAACCAGCACGGTTGCCTTTGCAGCCTTCAGCACCGAATCAAACTCATCCAACTTCTGCGGCTGCGAAAGACACAGTGCGCCAATCTGCGATGACATCAGCCTGCAAGGCAACCTCACACGCCTCAGATGAAGTGCTGCAAGGAAGTCCCACACACAAGGTTCGAAAGCTGCAAGAACGGCCACGCACCAAAGACACGGGAATGGCTGTAGATCGCTTTGACGGCGAGACAGTTGCCTTGAACCGGCATACAACTCTTGGTCCTAGGGGCGACGATGACTGGTGGCGAGAGCAAAGCTCCTGAGTGATTCCTCTCCCGCCACTGGACAAGTCTGGAACACCAACTGCGTGTGAACCACAACCACTGCGCACGCGTGCGGAAGCATGGTGGCACTAAAGCAGGATGGAGGAGAGCGGTGACTTCTGTCACGCTCTTGCAGAATCTCGCACATTGAGGCAACCACACACCAGCACCAGCCGACGTGGCTTGACTGGCATTTTGGCTAACTCGTACTCGTTTGACGGTGCCTCGATCCGGCCCCACCTCCACGAAGCCGTTGCTTGTCGTGGCTGCACCGTCAATGAATGGCTCGACGGCAGGACGGGAGTCTTTCCGGAATAAATACCCAAGCTGCTAAGGGACGTCTTATGCGACTTGAGCTCGGGTCACTGCCAGATGCAACAGATGCAGATCAGGAAAGCCACCCAAGGCTTTGCTCACGGCGGCAACTCAAGGGCCATCAAGGCCTCCGGATAGCTGCAAGGCGGCTGGAAAAGAGGCCTTGCAGGAGTTTGTCCGAGCACAGAAAGCCCCACTGCAGTGGGAAAGGCGCACCCACATCTCACAAGCCCAGGAGTCAGGTTCAACACTCCTGTAGAATAAACACGAGTTCCTCAATGCCAGGCTCAGAGAAGGAAGATTGGCATCATTAGCGCAGGCTCCGGCTCCTGCACCCTCGCCAGCGAGCAGAGGCTAGTTCGATGCTGGCATGCCACAAGTCTGACCAACAAAACGTCTCTACCTCTGCCTCGTGTCGTTAAGGTGACACCCGTGCAAGATGATGGTGAACGTTGCTCATAAAGCATTGCTAGCAGCGGCTGCCCCAGAACCAACACGGCTGCCTTTGCGGCCTTCAGCACCGAATCAAACTCATCCAACTTCTGCGGCTGCGAAAGACACAATGCGCCAATCTGCGATGACATCAGCCTGCAAGGCAACCTCACACGCCTCAGATGAAGTGCTGCAAGGAAGTCCCACACACAAGGTTCGAAAGCTGCAAGAACGGCCCCACACCAAAGACACGGGAATGGCTGTAGATCGCTTTGACGGCGAGACAGTTGCCTTGAACCGGCATACAACTCTTGGTCCTAGGGGCGACGATGACTGGTGGCGAGAGCAAAGCTCCTGAGTGATTCCTCTCCCGCCACTGGACAAGTCTGAAACAACATCTGGGCATGAGGCGCGGCCACCGCACTGTGCGGCGGGATGGTGGCACTAAAGCAGGATGGAGGAGAGCAGTGACTTCCACAACGAGATGGCCGAAGACTTTTGCAGAGTTTTGGGCATTGGCAATCACACGGGCTCCTGCTCCCGTCCTCGTCCGTTGCCAACTACTACCCTCCACCAGCACCAGACGACACTGCAACACTAGTGAATGGCACGAAACGGAAGTCTTTCTGGAGCCACAACCCAGGCCGCTGGCACGCAGCGAAACATGGACAACGGACGGCTTATGCGACTTGAGCTCGAGTCACTGCCAGATGCAACAGATGCAGATCAGGAAAGCCACCCAAGGCTTTGCTCACGGCGGCAACTCAAGGGCCATCAAGGCCTCCGGATAGCTGCAAGGCGGCTGGAAAAGAGGCCTTGCAGGAGTTTGTCCGAGCACAGAAAGCCCCACTGCAGTGGGAAAGGCGCACCCACATCTCACAAGCCCAGGAGTCAGGTTCAACACTCCTGTAGAATAAACACGAGTTCCTCAATGCCAGGCTCAGAGAAGGAAGATTGGCATCATTAGCGCAGGCTCCGGCTCCTGCACCCTCGCCAGCGAGCAGAGGCTAGTTCGATGCTGGCATGCCACAAGTCTGACCAACAAAACCTCTCTACCTCTGCCACGTGTCGTTAAGGTGACACCCGTGCAAGATGATGGTGAGCGTTGCTCATAAAGCATTGCTAGCACCGGCTGCCCCAGAACCAGCACGGCTGCCTTTGCGGCCTTCAGCACCGAATCAAACTCATCCAACTTCTGCGGCTGCGAAAGACACAATGCGCCAATCTGCGATGACATCAGCCTGCAAGGCAACCTCACACGCCTCAGATGAAGTGCTGCAAGGAAGTCCCACACACAAGGTTCGAAAGCTGCAAGAACGGCCCCGCACCAAAGACACGGGAATGGCTGTAGATCGCTTTGACGGCGAGACAGTTGCCTTGAACCGGCATACAACTCTTGGTTCCAGCTGCGTCTGACAGGCGTGGAGCTCTCAAGTCAGTTTGGGCATCGTTTACCGTGGGTTGTGACGGGTTGCGCAAGAGTGTCTCGGGGTGCCGTTGTCCGGCATTAAGGATGGCAGTCGAGCCCGGACAGACACACAGACACGGGATGGCACTAGAACAAGAAACTCATTCTGAAGGAATGCAGCATTAGGAGCTGCAAGAAGCAGAGCCGATGCTTCTGAAAAGTGCTGCACTCTCACAGCAGAACTTGCCATCAAACCTTCACGCTGCAGCAGACAACTCGAGCTGAGCCCTGCCGACACTTCGAGGGCTTAAACGACGCACCGACCGGAACCCGACCATCGAAACAGATGGAGCTTCCTTTTCCGTATCGAGCAGCAGAGGCGGAGAGCACCGGGATTGTGACGTAAGACACGCCGAGACCGAGAGCCTGAACTCCCTTCAGTTGCACCTGGTGTAGGCAGAGAGAGCTCTGGAGTTTAGGCTACCTGGTGTGAGGAGCTGCAAACACGGATATACACGGATGCTGTTCACCGGTTGCTTGCACCCTACATCAACCTTGCCAGGAATTTCAAGTGTACGACAGGCAAGCCCCAGGCAGCTCAGCTCAGATACAGATCACGTAAACTAAGTGCAGCTTCCTGACCCGAGTGCCGGCGCCCTGCCAGACACATGGGCACTCGATCCATTAATGGCTCGATCTCTCCTCGGTTGCTGTGCTAATCGTTAGTCAGCCTCATTGCCAGCAGCAGCTCGGGGGCCTTTGTAGCCTTCAGCACCGAATCGAACTCATCTAATTTCTGCAGCTGCACCATTCACAATGCGCCCCTGCACGATGATGTCAGCCTGCAAGCCTACCTCACAAGCCGATGAAGCGGTGCCAGGAACTCCCGAGCACACGAGCACACGATCCGTAAGCTGCCAAGAAAGTTGCGCACTAAAGTTACTCAAAGCTGGGGACCTACATGACTTTGAGTACCACGCTGTGGCGCAGGAGTGGCGTAGATCTCCAGGCCCCGACGACAAAGACCGCAGGTGGCGAAGGCCTTGGTGCCTTCTGATTTCCTTGCCGGTGTCGGTGTGACGGCTGTCGCCGGGGCTTCACAACTCCTGTCGGGTGCCTGCG